AGATTGTTTCATCGCATGCAGCACTATCAGTCTCAACATTCTTTGCAAATTAATTACCTAATTGACTGACGTTGTGTGAACTTTTCCTCAAAATTACCTTAATTTCAAAAGTATGATACCAATACAGATTCGAAAATGACATTCGTTAAGCACTTTTAATAAACTTTTGAATAAATATTAAATGTATTCGATTTTTTTCTTTTAAACCAATTATTATGATTGCGTCATAAAATGATCATTGATATGAATTTTGGCAGAATGCACATAAATTCTTATGCTCAATAGGGTTTACCTACCTGCATACAGTTCGAGCTTTTAAAAATAATTTATTCACAGTTGCAAAGTAGACAAGACTGTAGATTCAATATGTTGTATTTCTTCCAACGTTTAAATATTTTATTGTTATAAAAGTAGTTCTAAGCGGCCAAGTCTAGGGCATTGAGCAGTTTACGATGAGTCGTGATGACGGCCACTTCCCGCCTTTTGTTGCCGCTCATCAGTGCGCGTTAATATAAAACACTTCGTATGCTATCAAATACTGGCCACCAAAAAAGTTATTTTTTTTAAAGTTTAAAAACCGGTGCCGCTAAGTCAGCATTGGAATGATTTGTTCTTGTTCTTTTTTGAAAAAAGTACATGTATTTTGAAATAAATACATAGTCTGTAGTGTCTATAAAACCAAAGTACGTTTGGGGCGGGCACTGGTCTTTCCCGTATTCCTCGACGGAGCGGAGACATGGCGCATGAAAAGCCGCGATAGCAAAAATATCAATGCCTTTGAAATGTGGGCGTGGTGGAGTATGCTACGAATACCATGTACCTACTGCCATGAGAACTAACGAGTCCATTCTAATGGAGCTAAACATCCGAAAAAGGCTCTTTGCTATCTGCCGGGAACGTGTTATGATCTTCTTTGGACACATCATGAGGTCTCCCAGACATGAATTAGAGAAGCTCATCATTTCGATTCGCATAGAGGACAAGCGCGCCGTGGGCAGAACATCTGCCAGACGGTCAGATCTGGTTAGAGAAGGAATTGGTGGTAGTCTATACCATGCGGTCCATGCCGTGATCGAACACTGTGGAGGAAAGTCACATGTGGTCGCGATCCTCAGCAGTGAGGGAACGATAAAGAAGAAGTTCCTTCGGGATTTTTCAATCATAAAATAAATAGTAGAGACCAGCTGAGACGGTCCAGTTGAAACAAAAATAAGCGTCTTAGTCGTAATACGTCCTGTCGGCCATTTTTGTACAAATTGAAAAATCTTTCATTTTCAAGAAGTTCAAGAAGTTTTTGGTATTTTCTCATTAAGATCTAAATTTGATCGACAAATATTCTAAACTTACATAGTTCCAAAATTTGCTTAAGAATTTTTATCTGTTAAGAAAAAATACTTAAATTCTTTTACAGAAACGCTAAATTATTATCACAAATCTAAAATAGAAGGCCATGAAGAAGTGCATGATCGAGCGGGTAATTCGACAAAAGTAAACAAAGCTGCCGCTTACATAAGTACAGGGTGATGTGTAAAACTAACAAGACTATCAAAGTGCATATTTAAAAAAAATATAATCCAAAACTAACACTTTTCCCCAAGCGACTGATAAAATTTTAATATAACGTACTCTTTTACGGAATCACTTGTTCTTTTTGGTAATTGTTGGAAAAGAGACACCCTGTATAATCGATGTGTATATTAAAGATACTTGTTTTAACTTTAATATTCTTTAAAATTCGTGACTATGTTTTTATTATTGAACTACAGCTAGTAAACGAGTCAGCACTCGGCAGACTTCGTAGTGCCTCAATCGACAAATAAAAGACCTAAACTTTTGTATAAAATAAACTTAAAATAAACAAAGGAATCCGTGCAACGGGGGACACATCAAAGGGAAAAAAGTTGTTATTTTTATTTAATTCCGAGCATTTTCATATTTATCAACCTTTTAAACCTTCTCTGGACTTCCACAAATAATTCAAGACCAAAATTAGCGTCCAGCCTTTCTCGAGTCTCAGCGAGACTAACGACGAGCAATTGTTTTATATATATATAGATATATAGATGATAGGCGAACGAGGTATTAACCGGAGTTAATTTGAGACGTATGGAATAATGTCAATCGTATTGTATAACCATATCACATCCTTCATATCGAAACGCATTACTGATTCTCGGTTGAAATATACAAGATGAAGCCTGGCTAGCGAGCGACCTAGCCGCCGAAGCTTACGGTACGTCATATCACCAGTAAATGTTAGTTGACAATCGCAATACCTATGTTGGTGATATTATAAGCATTTCGGTCCATTTTCAGGCGAAACCCTTAAGTACCTCATGACAGCCTCAGGTGGAGATGGGCTCGTGTAAATCTAAACCACCACACAGTCAAATCTTGATCTTAATCTAATATATAAAATTCTCGTGTCACAATGTTCGTTCCCATACTCCTCCGAAACCGCCTGACCGATTCTCATGAAATTTTTTATGCATATTCAGTAAGCCTGATAATCGGCTACTATCTAAATTTTATACCCCTAAGTGATTAGGGTTGTCCACCCCTAACATTTTTTTTTTATTTGGACATTTTTTTTTGTTATAATGAGGTATTATGTGGTTGAATGAGGTTTTGTTATTTTTATTATATATTCCCTCATCGTTCACAGCACTACATACCTCTTTCACTCATTTACTACATCCTTACACACTTACAATAAGTTAGTTTTTTTTTCTACACTAGAAATTCCCTAGAAATCTTATATATGGCAAAACAATGTTTGCCGGGTCAGCTAGTATTATATAGATTAGAGATTTGCTTTAACCCGCTAATATTTGTGGTATGCGTCATATACATCCATATCTAACGATTTCAGCCACCAAGTCCTACATATTCCGCACGCTCTGGATAGAAGAAAAATAATTAATCTGTTACTAAGTTGTTGATGTACTAAGATTGACCTAAAGGTTGTAAATACCAGGTCATAAAATCCCAAAAAAAAAAAAATGTACAAAGACTGTTGTGTTTTGATCAGGAATGACAATTTTAAGATAGGTCGTCTACCGCCTGACACTCCAATTCGGTCTGTAAACACTAAACCAAGGCACAGTTCAGTTAAGATTACATTATTCGTTTCACCTAAATTTTCAAGGATACAATTGAAACAAATTAAGATACGTAACTTTCTATACCTCGTTTAAATGATAAGTTAAATGAATATATTATGTACCGCAATTTCAATTTTATTGCGTTTGATAACAATTAATGCAGGCAGAGAAGTCGATCGGTACACTCACGTTCGCAAGTGTCGTGTCAATTTAAATTCAATAATTTATTAGTTTCAGAAAACCGTTAACGAAATCAACGCGTTATTGATTTACGCAAATAAATTTATTGCGTACGCGTTAAAAATATACAATAATATCCTGTATTTACATAAGAGTTTCGGAGGTGTCCGCGACCGAACGAAACCAGGAACGCAGCCAAAAATTCAATTTGTTTTACGAGTAAACTTTACTGGTTATAATTTCAATGTTAAGGTTATAAAAGTCGATTGATGTGCCGGATTTAGAAGCGCAGCATAGACACGTGGTTATGTTTTTTTTTTCTGTGACGTCAAGGGATCTGGAACGAAGGTGCGAGAACGCTGTCTCGTTTTCGATAACGTCCGCACGAGCCGTTAAAACAACACGAACTGTTTATACGATTTAAATAAAACCTAGATCTATGTTTTATGGACATAAGTAGTTAGTGGCGTGCTTCGCTGAATCATAACCTGTTCGCTTAGAAGGTAACTTCCGCGAAATCAGAGTACATTGTATTTACGGACTGAGTTAACGAGATAAATTAATTGTTATTTAGTCTAATTTATTAATAAAATTTTGAACTTGAACTTGAAGTTTCCGTCCGAATAAACAAGAATATTAATAGCAGTAAATAGATTGAGTAATAAAAAAGATCAAAGAATACGTCGTGGCCTAAAGGATAAGACATCCGGTGCATTCGTATATAGCGATGCACCGGTGTTCGAATCCCGCCACCAGATAACATTTTTTCCAATGAAATACGTACTTAATAAATAAAAAATATGCTTAGATGAGTGGACGAGCTCACAGCCCACCTAGCGTTAAATGGTTACTGGAGCCCATAGACATTTAGAACGTAAATGCTCAACCCACATTGAGCTTAAGTTATAAGGTCTCAAGTATAGTTACAACGGCTGCCCCACCCTTCAAACCGAAACGCATTACTGCTTCGCGGCAGAAATAGGCAGGCTGGTGGTACCTACCCGTGCAGTCTCGGAAGACGTCCTACCGCCAGTAAAAATATTCACGGTTGACTTCCACGATGAAGGAATAACATCGTGTAATAAAAATCAAACCCGCAAAACTATAATTTGCGTAATTACTGAAGCAGTAATGCGTTTCGGTGTGAAGGGCGGAGCGGCTGCTGTACTGTTAAAGATGAGACCTTAGCACGCATGTCTCAAGTCGGTGGCGGCATTTACGTTGTAGATGTCTATGGGCTCTGGTAACCACTTAAAATCAGGTGGCCCGTTAGCTCGTCCACCCATTTAAGCAATAAAAAATAAATAAATAAACCGGAATCGAACAAGAAGAAATCGCACTGTATTTTATTACTATTATAGGAAATGCGGAGGTAGAATCCATGTTGCGCATTGATCTGTGATGATTATCCATGTTGATGACGTAGTTATGAATAGGAAAAGTTTTTGGGAGATTTACGTCATGTAAACAGATCTTTTACTCTGTTGGACGATCGACGGAAAATGTTGTTGTTGAACTCATATTTTCTACATAATATGTTTTTAAATAAACAATGAGACGGCGCGATCCAGTTTATTTTTTTACCATATTTTAACTGCTCACTGTTGCATACACTGCTCTATTTTCTCGATTTCTCACTTTTCTCTATTGGTTCTCTATTGGATAAGGCGTTTTTTTACATATTTAATGTACAACATAGACTAATAATTGTTTCAGGCAAGCTATACGCTGTTGGTAGCGCCACTCCCCCCAGTGAGAGACGTTTGAGTGTCCCCGCGACCACCATACAAAGCCGCCCGCCCGCATAGGATGGTAGAAACTGACCCGGGGCCCAAGAATCCTCACAGTAAGTCTACAAACTCACTATTTAAGAAATTAACTGCTAATTACGACATTAACCCTTTAAGGTCCAGAGTGCACACGTATTAGAGATTCCCACCCTTCCTGGCTGAGCATTTGCTCGCCCACCTGTCCTGGTGAAACTGGAAAGGCCTTCGGGCCACCAGTAATCTTTCAATCATTAAAAATAAATAAAAATAAAAATAAAATATATTGTTACATTAGTCTTAGGACTGGAAAGGCTTAACTTTGTGTTTTTAAGTGACTTTGTGTACTGAATTTTGACTGAATTCGATTATAAAAATAAATGAACCGTAATTTTATTAACATTGAAAATGTTTTGAACGATTTACGCTAGTTAATTTACTTCTTACATGTTTTTCTTTGATATTCACACGCTAAATATACGAAAATATATCGGAATTCATTAGAAGCGACACTAATTCAAATTAATTATAAATTAAATTTGAACGTTATTCTGAAAAATAGCAGTAATTTTTTGGTTTCGAACGTGTAATTTACCTCACGTGACGCACACGCTCACTACCACGCAACCGACACGATAAAATTCAAACTTTCTAACTTAATTATTTAAGTTACCAATAATCATTGTTTTATCTCCGAATGAAATAACAAAAGTGTATTTCAAAACCTTGAAGAGCATTAGAAGTCCTAGTTTGAACACAATGTTCAAACAAACTGAGCCCGAGATACTTACAAGCCTGTTTAGCACGACAGTGATAATTTCATGAAACGGTACATTAGTCAGATTTTAATGTGTTCTAAGCATCAGGGCATCAGGCCTAACCCAACTTTGATTTTACGACATTGTATTATGAACGTGAATGTGAAAAGTCTAAAGGCGCTTTGTGCAAAATCGAGCGAGCTTAATGAAACTTTTACATTTAAAAATCAAAAAGAAAGAGGTGTGTGGCTTATGGATACCCGATTGGAACGGAGTTCCTTTGGCTGTCTTTTTTGTATTTGTATTAATTAATTAATTAAATTAAAAAACAAAGACCCAGGTTAAAATGAATGAAACGAATGATAAAACGTCAATAAACGCGAAAAACGTTGGTATTGCCGATAAATTCCAGGAATATTAGTAAAAATCTCCATTTTATTATAAATTATAGATATCTATTTTTTTTTATTGATTAGATAGATGGACGAGCTCACAGCCCATCTGGTACATTTCTTAAGTACGTATTTCATTAGAAAAATTAGTACCCGCCTGCGGGATTCGAACACCAGTGCATCGCTACATACGAATGCACCGGACGTCTTATCCTTTAGGCCACGACGACTTAGTGCCTATTCTAAAAACCTTTTGTTTTGTTTCAGATTGTGATGTAAAAGGGGATCTACAACTAAACGGCCCAGGTTCCAAAACCGCCGAGCTTGGTAAGCGAATTCAAAAACCATAACATTTTCATCTTAATAATATTTGTTCTACAGTTCCAATTCGTTATTGCGCTGAAACTTCATAGTCGTTTTTGGGCCTTCAGTAGTTTCTGGTATATGATAGTTTGAGTGCGAGTTGGTCTATTGAATTCTTCTCCTCTTTGCCTCGTGTTCCTCAGTGCTGAGGAACATTTTTAATACCTTTATAGAGCATTTTTGTTCGGACTATGTTCCTCAAATTTTAAAACGCTTTTATTAGCTTCAGACGTGTGTATGTAACGGAATCTTTGAACATGATTTTGACCCCCTTCAAAACGTCGGATTAACGTCGAAATTTGATATACTTATTAAGGACCGATGACAATTAAATATTTAAAAAAAAATGGAAAAATAATTGAAATTCAACTAAAAAATGAAAAATAAACAATAGTTTGAATGATTTTATTGTATAAAAAGCGTGGGTTGCATGGTATCAGTAGTTATAAATATTTTATGAACAGATATGAGTAGAAGGATTATTTTGATAATATCCTGAAAAGCACCCCAGCTTTTTTACAATAAAATCATTTTTTCTTACACTATTTTTAATTCAAATTTATTAAAATTTATTTTCTATTTTTTAGTTGGATTTTCTATAAAAGCGTATTTTGTTAGTTTTCTTAAACTATTCGTTATTTTTTGTTCTCTGCGCAGTAGATAGCGGCGTTGACGCTGGAGTCCAATTTTGTCTTAATTTTATCGGATCAGCGCATAGAATTACGCCCGCTTGGCCTTTTGCCTTTCTTTAAATTCTAAGCGTAACAAATATGTATAATATATGTATATTCGCAGCGTGGCACGACCGGAAATCAGTGTTTTTGTAAAAAATAATTACTGGTTCGCATTTATTGCATCGTTGGTTTAACGAAAAGCAATCAAAACCAGACGCTGTGGTGAATCATAAATTCGCTGAACCTTGGCTTCTTCGCTGAACCAAGATTTTTAGATGCATATTTTTTTATTCACGTCCCTCTGTGTTTTTATGTTATAAGTCCACATAGATGCTCTGTCTATTAACACGTTTTTATTAGTAAATCTTTAACGATCTCAAGAAGTCCGATTAACTCGTAAATTTGCTCAGACACCAAGAACCGATGACAGTGCAATAATATTGTAACTTGGCTCTAGTACCCTGACCAGTATTAACGGGCTAAATAAAGATTAAATTCATTGGCTATTTTAGTTTGGTAGAATTTAAAAAAGGCTATTTTTTTTAAGCGACATTTCACATATTTTCCGTACCTATTCTAGTAACCTCGAGGGCTTATTCTAGATCAGCGGTCAGTCGAGGCGATTGGCCAACCCCACGTGGGGGCTACGGACCGTCGAGGCGGTTTACCCGGTCTTTGATGACTGGGTGAATCGTGGCGAGGGACGTCTCACCTTTCGTCTGGTGCAGGTGCTGACCGGGCACGGATGCTTCGGGAAGTACCTGCGCCGGATAGGGGCTGAGCCGACGACGAGGTGTCACCATTGTGGACACGACCTGGANAAAAAAAAAAAAAAAAAAAAAAAAAAAAAAGATCAGCGGTCAGGAAAAATTACCGGGTAAATTACCCAAAATGGGGTAAAATGAAATTTCAGGGGGTAAAAATGAAACTTTTGTGAGTAAAAAGTATATATTAAAGTGAAACTTCTTTAGAATCGTTGTGATTTCAAACTCGATGAAACGAAAAAATAAGATATTTTTTTTTCAAAATTATCATGGGGTCTATAATAATATGAAAGATGCTAAAAAAAAAAGCGACTTCGTTTTTTTTTGCTCTTCGCCATGGGATAATATCAACTTACACAAAAATATTTTGGGGTAATAATTAAAAAAGTTCCCCGACCACTGTTCTAGATTCACCGAGATTTCACTTAAGCTACATTTATCTTTGGAAATAACAGTGCGTTTTGTTTGGTATCAGCGTCAACAGTTCGATGTTTTTAATTGAACTTCAATTAAGTTTAATCCATTCAAATAGCTGAAGAAGTTTTTTTTGTTATTTATTTATTTATTTAGACACACCAACAGCAATACACACAAAACATTCAAGCTTAAAATTAACATGTATAACATTAAGTACTGGTGTGTAAGCCAGTTACATCAATTTTACAAACAGCGGAAAAATAGGCTAAATTTAAATGTTAACAGTACGACAAATAAAATAATTAAAAATAACACGAAAACAAGAGTTAACTACTTAACATTCTCTCTTTTTTTTTTTTATTGCCCTTGTAGGCGGACGAGCATACTGCCCACCTGATCGTGAGTGGTTACCGTCGCCCATGGACTTCAGCAATGCCAGGGGCAGAGCCAAGCCGCTGCCTACCGCTAAATCTCATCAATTATAAACAAAGGAACTTGGATACTAGTTTTTTTTTGAGACCAGGGCACGTGTCGTTAAAAATATCGATGCCGTTATGATACTTTTTCCAAATTTTAAACTTTAAATGGCTCTCCTGTAAAGTTTCCAAAATTTCGCTTAAACCAAATAGCCTATCAACCCTCGATATAATCATTAATTTAATGAAAGTCTGATGCCAAACAGTCCTGGGTTCTGATTTGAAAGGAAAAATACACGTGAGAAGACTATGATGTTTATGGACTGATGCTAAAGGGTAGAATACTATAGAAAGATATTCTAGAAAACCAGTCTTATTCAAATTCAATATATCAGAAACTAGTGGTCGCCCGGTAGTCGACATTCGACTATAATTAATTTAAATCATAAGTTTGAACATTATTAAGAACCATTTTTTATTGCCTTGAAGGTTCGACTTGCTCACGGCCCACCTGATGTTAAGTGGTTACCGGAGCAGGTTACATCTACAACGTAAATGCCGCCACTCACCTTGAGATATGAGTTCTAAAGTATCAGTATAGTTACACGGCTGCCCCACCCTTCGAACCGAAACGCATTACCGTTTCACGGCAGAAATAGGCAGTCAAAAGGCTATTGTCAAAGACTATCATAGACCTCTATAATAACAAATTGCGCCAAGGCTACACTATAGATAAATAATATTGAAGACAAACAGTATTAATCTATTTTAAATTTGGCTACAGAATTTAACAATAAACAAAAGCGTGTGTGTGTCAAATATATGGTAGTGCGTGTAATGTTTTTTTTATTAACTTAAAGTACACATATTTATGTAAAAAAAATAGCATTCTGCACTCCTTCTCTATATATAAACTATAAGTGTGGAAAATTTCATACTCCTCCGTCCGCGCAATTAACGTAAAAAGGGGTTCAAAATGTCTAATGTGAAACCGCTTTTTCTACATAATAGTACTCCATCATAGTAGCAACCCATTCATGTTTGACTAGGTAATTAATGTCTCGGATTACCACACACTAGCAAGTCGTTAATATTTTGTATTTTCTCAAGGCAGTCAAGCTAGTGTTCGTACCTTAAGCGGCTTGTCAATGAACATTGAAACTTCAAGCATTTCAATTTTATCAACATCTGACCAGTAGTTTTTGAGTTATCCTTAATACTGGTGGTAGGACCTCTTGTGAGTCCGCGCGGGTAGGTACACTGCTTGCTTATTTCTGCCGTGAAGAAGTAATGCGCTTCGGTTTGAAGGGTGGGGCAGCCGCTGTAACTATACCTGAGACCTTAAAGAACTTATATCTCAAGATGGGTAGCGCATTTTACGTCGTAGATGTCTATGGGCTCTAGTAACCACTTCACACCAGGTGGGTTGTGAGCTCGACCACCCATCTAAGCAATAAAAAAATAAAAACATATTTAATTGCTTTCGAATACGATATTAATGATATTCTCATTTACTCAAATCATAAATCGATTACTCAAATCGATTTTCTTTTGTTTTTGATTTTTTTGTTCTGTATCTTTTTCAGGCGTCGTACCTTCAGTTAAGAAATCGAAATCCGATCCGGAGAAGGGCTCCAATTCGGAAAAAGCCGACTTCGAACGGGCTATCGAACTAACCGGTAAATTTATTTAAAATTTATTCTCTAATAAATCAGTAAAACAAAATTTATGGAGCTGCTGCAAGAGTAATTAATAGTGTTGAGCACCGGCTTGGATCTGCCCCTGGTATTGCTGATGTCCATGGGCGACGGTAACCACTCACCATCGGGTGGGTCGTATGCTCGTCTGCTTACCAGGGCAATAAAAAAAAAAGAATTATTATAGACAGTGTCCGAAATTACGTTGTTTCTCATAATCGCTATAAAAGTAAAAGATCGAGAGAAACTATTAAATAAATAAATAGTTGATATTCAGACCAGATCAGAACTTAGCTTGGCCCTTGGCATTCCTGGTGTTCCTCGTCAAAAAAATGAATAACACCTAAATGTTACAACAGCCTATTTAATTTGCACATATGTACGTACTCCTACACAATGGTTCACAATAAAATCATGAATGCTCAAAATATATGCACGATGAATTACTGTAAATCCCAAAATAATGATTGGTCATCAATTATAGTTCATGTGGTTTGTACTTTTGTGTGGTTCGTTATTATTACAGCGCAAAATTAAGCCTAATTTTTAAATTACACTTATTTCGGTTGATAATATCGTAAAAGTGGCAAAATACTGAAAATTGTTCTTTTTTTTTTTTCGATGGGTTATTTAATTCCATACGTTTCTTTATTTCCTGTCTCTGGCAGTCGGGAAAGCTGTAATGATCGTAACCCCGTCGCTAATTCCAAAAATATTAGTTATTAAGATAATCTGCGTCCATAATATTGTTAACAATATAACTATTCCAATTTCCAGCGCAGTTCAGATTAGGCGAAAGCATTGATACTGTAATGCCATATGACCTGATTTACCAAAGCAATAAGCATTCGATTCCATGTCCCACAATAGGCAGTTACATTCACATTATATTGTCTATTGACTCCCGTGGCTAATTAACGCCACTTCCGCAGCGAGTTCGACTAGCAGAGCCGTGGATACAGTAAAATTAAATACTATAACAATGACCACAACAACGCACAATATTGGTCAATGAAAATAAAAGTGTCAGCCTTGAAACCGTGCAGTAGTCGTCAATAAATATATTGTTACATAATAGTAAAACTGCGCGTGTATTCAACTATTTGTAAACATGAAATACGAGAACGAAGTCGTACTCATATGTATGTAGCTCTTCGCATTCCACTCGGAATCGCTTCCGCGGTACAAAATTTCCAAGAATTGTTTACTCGAATGTACTCAAAAAAGTACGAGCTTTATTACGCGATTTTCTTAATAACTGATGGTGAGTTCGTGAAGAAAGAGAGAGAGAGAGAGAGAAAGAGAGAATGCCGCCGTATTGCCTATTGCTGCCTCTAAACAGGCTTAGCATAGATTTCGCCCGATGGCCTATCCGTTCCTCTTTATAAAACAACGATTTACTTCCGAATAAAGGGCTGTTGTTACAATAAATTTTATGAAGGAAACTTCAAGGGTGGGTCAATGAACCATTAGTGCATCCAATAGTGCATCGGAGTCGCAAAAAATCCATGTCAGAAAATTAAGACACTACATTGTTTATTACATACATAAACTTTTTCTTACTCAGGATATGGCCGCTTCCACTACATGCTGTTGGCAGTATGCGGTCTCGTCAGCACTTCCGAGGAGATGGACGTCATCTCGATGTCGTTCATCCTACCCTCGGCACAGTGCGACTTAGACCTCACCACTCAGACTAAAGTGAGTTAACATGAGAATTTATTACCTTAATTTTAACAATAATTCGCTTTTTATTTTCAATCGTAAATAGCCGTAAAATCAGTTCAGTGCTGAACAAAAAGATTTCGTGTCAAGTGTAAAAAAATTACTATCTAAAATCTAGATCTAAGAACATCCAGAAAAAATGAAGTCGTCGTGGCCTAAAGGACAAGACGTCCGGTGCATTCGTGTTGAGCGATGCACCGGTGTCCGAATCCCGCAGGCGGGTACAAATTTTTCTAATGAAATACGTACTTAACAAATGTTCACGATTGACTTCCACGGTGAAGGAATAACATCGTGTTATAAAAATCAAACCCGCAAAATTATAATTTACGTAATTACTGGTGATAGGATGTCTTTTGAGTGTGCACGGGTAGTTACCACCACCCTGTAAATTTCTACCGTGAAACTTGGTACATGTTCACTAGCCGCCTTATTTTTTAGGTCACAACAACTTCGAATGTATTAAGCTTCGTGTTAATCAATTTAGTTAATTAATTTTACATTGGTTTATTGTTAAATATAACTATAGGTACATATAGTCATCAATTTAAATAAATATTATTCATTTTATTACAAAAATGGTGATGAATATATCTTTAGATGGTTTTTTTTCACTGTAATTTTCCAGGCTTCATGTAAACACATCTTTGCTAAATATCACGTAAGATCTCTTTGTCTAGATAAAGATGCATTCAGCACACCTAAATTTATCTTAGTCAAAGTAATTAATCATTCGAGTCACCGGAAAATTCGTGTCTATTAATAAGAACACTGACTCATTTAAGACTCAAATAACTTTCGAACTAATAACAATCTTGGACTTTGTTTTTCTGATATACAGGGTATAGGGATATAAAGGAATTTTCTGGAAACGAAAATAATAATACATAGTTACTTAGATCATACATTATCTACACTATCTTAAATTTGCATAAAAAAAATTGCCGGACCTGGGGCCGAACCTCTTACGAGGTTCCCGCGCCTAGGGGGCGCGCGGGATATGTGGGACTTGACGATCTGCAGATGCTGGAAGCAGACCGCGGGCCTAAGGATATTTTTAGGGCACTACCGCACTAAACGACTTCCTTGCATTCTTACGCTCGACGTCCAATCTCTGCCCGGGGTCAGAACCCGGTCAAGTAAGGAGGTTCCCGCGGTCAACACTACAAACAGGCTCGCGGCACCACCCCGAGGACTCCAGACCGATGGGTCGTCGAGGCGATAGTCGACGACCCACGACGCCGCGACGGGCGATGCTGCTGGTTCAGAACCAGCCTGCCGGGTCGGAACACGATTCACCGCCGACTGGGTTAAATTTGCATACTAGCTCAACTTGGGTATCACATGAATAGCCTACAGACTTAGCTAGAGTAATGATACCTAGGTATAGTGCGATCATACTAGCACACCTAGCAAGTAACCCTAGTTATTCATATGACCCTAGAGCACAACCTAGTAGTTAATATTTCGTGAACTATCCCTCGTGTCACATGGTCAAGTCAGCTGATTTCAAATTATATTATATATATATATATTATGTTACTTTGCGTGCTGTCAGATAAGTTTTTTTTTGGGAACGATTCTCCTGCACTCCGCATAAATATTAATAATTGTTGGTTCGACTTTTCGTTTGTTTTTTACACGTTCATGTAGCTTTCATCCGAATCACTTGAAGCGTTGTGTACTAGAAATTGGCGCTTCAGTGAAAGTTCTGACGTCGCGTAGTAAGCAGAGGCGCAGGTCCTTTCAACAAATTCACAAGTCGTTCATCTTGTTATATTGAAACTTTTACAATCATTGTTATTGACACTCATACGAAAATTCTTTACATAGATTAGTACCGTCAACAATACAAGTGTTGAAAGAAATGGGTGTATTTTATGTACAGCGATCTTTGGTCATATATCTCTCTCTCTTCAATCGGTCCCTCATTGCTGAGGATCGTGACTCCGTCCGATTCCGTCAACCAGCTGTCTCCATCGATCCCGTTCTGCAGCTTGGTGGAGTGCGTCATATATGAAGATGACAAAAATCTTAGCAGATTTCAAGTTACTTTTAACAACGAATCGATTTATTGTAAAATTTTATAAACCTGTACTTGAGTAGGTGAATTGGCAAATATTTTACTTTAATCACCTTGTTGGCCTCTAGTGTTGCATGTGTACGATAGAATTTGAATCCTCGACCTCGGATTTATTTTGTATGTTTACTTTTAAACGAACTGTATGAAATTATCCATTGATAATCTTCATAAAACTCAAATTATTCATGGAATGCTCAAATCTATGTATATAAAAATGAATTGCTGTTCGTTAGTCGCGCTAATACTCGAGAACGGCTGGACCGATTTGAATTATTTGTAGAAGTCCAGAGAAGGTTTAAAAGGTAGATAAATATCAAAATTCCTTTTGTTTGTTTTAAGTTTATTTTATACAAAAGTTTAGATCTTTTATTTATCGATTGAGGCACTACGAAGTCTGCCGGGTCAGCTAGTTTATAATAAATTTATAAAGCTTAGTCTGCTTCCGCTAAACTAGAAGTTGGAATACGCGCGTTCAACTCTCCACCGGAAACTGTATGAGTACCTACGTAATTTAAACCTCTTAACGAATTGTCGTTAAAAAATATTTTCCATTTTCATATTTCGGAAACAACAATGGTATTGATGATATTAATGATGTCACTCAATCCTCGGTTTCCGAACGTGTGAATTGCCTTAAACAAACAAACACACAACAAATGAGGTAGGTATATGAGCTTCGTTTTTTTTTTCTCGTGACAAACATATTACGAATATTCACATTTGCGATCGTATGAGAATCGAGGTGTCGAGAAAATACAAAGTGATATTGTAGTTTATTGACGTCAGTTAACGTGAAATGACATGAAGATTATAAGTACCAAAACTAATGGTATTGACAGTACTGGCATAAAATTCGCTACCGAAGAGAGTATTTATAACCTACCCGGGTACCACCACCCATTCCTGCCGTGAGAGACATACTGACAGCCGTTATATCAGCCGTGTAACAAGACCATTAGCCACGGCAAAAGAATCGGATAGGGCCTCTATAAAAATCGTCACTAGTATAATTTAAATTTAATAATTCACTGAAATAGTTACCCAATAGTATTATTTATTAATTAGGTGTGCATTTTAATTAAAAATCTAATAGATTTAATTTTCATAACACCATAAGTATTGTTATCCTACCAATATAATAAATGTGACAGTTTGTGAAGATATTTTAATATCATTTCACGAAATCGTCAAAACGTTTTTTTTATTGCTTAGATGGGTGGACGAGCTCACAGCCCACCTGGTGTTAAGTGGTTACTGGAGCCCATAGACATCTACAACGTAAATGCGCCACCCACCTTGAGATATAAGTTCTAAGATCTCAGTCTAGTTACAACGGCTGCCCTACCCTTCAGACCGAAACACATTACTGCTTCACGGCAGAAATAGGTAAGGAGGTGGTACCGACGCGCGCGGACTCACCTCACAAGAGGTCCTACCACCAGTAATTATGCAAATTATAATTTTGCTGGTTTGATTTTTATTACACGATGTTATTCCTTCACCGTAGAAGTCAATCGTGAACATTTTTTGAGTACGTATTTCATTAGAAAAATTGGTACCCGCCTGGGATTCGAACACCGGTGCATCGCTCAACACGAATGCACCGGACGTCTTATCCCTTAGGCCACGACAACTTCAAGGTAGAGAATGCCTTAGGCATTAAGACCGCCAATATAAATTTTACATGAAGTGTATAAATAAATAAATAAAATAGTTACCCAATAGTAGGTATTATTAATTAAGAGTGTATTTTAGTTAAAAATCTAATAAAATTTAAATATAATATCCATAAGTATTGTTATCCTACTGATATTAAAAATGTGACAGTTTGTGAAGATGTTTTTATATCATTTCACGAAATTGCCAATAACGGTGAGTCGCCTCTGCCTTCATAAGCTCAAAATTACAATTGTTCCAGGGATGGCTAAACAGTATAATCTTCATCGGTATGATGGTGGGCGCGTACGCTTGGGGTTCAGTGGCAGACTCGCTTGGTCGCAAGCGAGTGCTCATAGCCATCTNTTAAAAATGTGACAGTTTGTGAAGATGTTTTTATATCATTTCACGAAATTGCCAATAACGGTGAGTCGCCTCTGCCTTCATAAGCTCAAAATTACAATTGTTCCAGGGATGGCTAAACAGTATAATCTTCATCGGTATGATGGTGGGCGCGTACGCTTGGGGTTCAGTGGCAGACTCGCTTGGTCGCAAGCGAGTGCTCATAGCCATCTCCATAGTGAACGCGCTCGCCATCGTCGCCTCCTCCTTCAGTCAGAACTACGAGCTCTTCATGTTCTTCCGCTTCGTGAACGGTGCCGCGTAAGTGTTCTTACCTAATAATTAATATCGTTCAATTAGAAGCTTATCAGCACTAGAATTCAGCTTGCTACGAACTTTAGTGGTAGGCAGCGACTTGGCTTAGCCCCTGGCATTGCTGAAGTCCATGGGCGACGGTAACCACTCACCATCAGGTGGGCCGTATGCATGTCTGCCTGCAAGGGCAATAAAAAAGAAACTTGTGTAGAATTAAAGCTAAATCACTTGTTTCATATCCTGACGGTAAAGTTAGGTTTTGATTTGAGTGCCGGACACAGACAAACGAGGCAAGAACGAATACGTTCAATAAGATCTCAAATGCTAATGTTTTTCTTTTTTTATTATTTCGTAAAGTAAAATGAGTGCGACGCTTCGTTGTTCCTCAAAATTAATGCAGCAAAGTACTGGCCTTCAGCAAAGATAAACTGATTCAAGGACAAGAATATATGAAATATGTTACGAATGCATAAATTGCCATGCTGGCTCTACAGAGTCAAAATCAGTGACAATCCGAAAGTAAAAAGATAACGATACTATTGTCGTTTTAACAATAAATTTAATGGTTTTTTTTATCAAATTAATTGATTGATATGCCTAAACAAGTTTCTTTTGGGCAAGCCCATATTTTAATACAGATCAATACTTGTTTCAGCTTGGGCGGGTCAGGACCTGTGATTTGGTCGTATTTCGCGGAATTCCAGCCGAAAAAGAAACGTGGGGCCATGTTGAGTTTCATGGCAGCCTTCTGGACTCTTGGTAACCTGTTCGTAGCCGGTTTAGCCTGGGTCATCATTCCGAGTGGTAAGTTATCTCTATATATAAAAATGAATTACTGTTCGTTAGTCTCGTTAAACTCGAAAACGGCTGAACCATTTGGCTAATTTTGGTCTTGAATTATTTGTGGGAGTCCAGAGAAGGTTTAAAAGGTAGATAAATATGAAAATGCACGGAATTGAATAAAAATAACAATTTTGTTTTTCCTTTGATGCGTCCCCTGTCGGACGGATTCCTTTTGTTTCTTCTAAGTTTATTTTATACAAAAGTTTAGGTCTTTTATTTATCGATTGAGGCACTACGAAGTCTGCCGGGTCAGCTAGTCTATAAAAAAAAAATTAATTAAAATAAAAAAATTGTTCGTCAAATTGCTTAATCAACGGAGTTTTCGATTCTATAGCTAGCTGTCAATTGAACGAATTGGTCATTTCCGCGAGTTAGTTTAATGTCTTTGGAAACACTGCATGGACTTAGCTTGGATCCAATCTATAGAGATAATTTTGTTATTCGCCAGAAATCGGAGGATCGACCGGGGGCTTCGTGTACAATTCTTGGCGGATATTCCTGCTGGTTATGTCACTACCTTCATTCGTGGTGGCGGCTCTACTGTTCCTTTTGCCGGAATCACCGAAATTCTTGATCTCGACGGGCCGACACGAAGACGCTCTAGAAGTGTTCCGCAGCATCTATCTCATGAACACCGGCCGCAGCAAAGACGAGTACCCAGTGAAACAAATCCTCGTGGACGATCTGGTGCACGCGAAGCCAGAGAAGCAAATCGAATCAAAGGAGCCAAAGTCTAAACTCAGGAGGATGTTGAGCGACATTGTCGAGCACAGCAAGCAGCTGTTTGTTCCGCCTATACTCAAGTTCACTACGATCTCTATTACAATCAACTTTACATTCCATATCGGGTAAGTTATTAATACGCTTTTATGAGCTTCAGACGTACCTCTGTATGTTTGTAACGGAATCTTTGAACATGATTTTAAACCCCTTCAAAACGTCGGATTAATTCGAAATTTGGTATACTTGTTAAGGACCGATAACAATTCACAATTTAAAAAAAATTGAAAAAATTGAAATTCAACAAAAAAATGAAAAATAAATAATAGTTTAAAAAAACTAACAAAATACGCTGTTATAGAATACCCAACTAAAAAATAGAAAATAAATTTCAATTAAAAATAGTGTAAGAAAAAATGATTTTATTGTAAAAAAAGCGTGGGGTGCTTATGGCAATCAATGCTTAAGTTAATCTTATGTCATGATAATCGTCTTAACGTTGCTGCCGCTGGTTTTTTTTTATTTTTTTTAATACTTAGATGTGTGGACGAGCTCACAGCTCACCAGGTGTTAAGTGGTTACTGGAGCCCATATACATCTACAACGTAAATGCGCCACCCACCTTGTGATATAAGTTCTAAGGTCTCAAGTATACAATAAGTTACAACGGCTGCCCAGCCCTTCAAACCGAAACGCATTACTGCTTCACGGCCGAAATAGGCATGGCGGTGGTACCTACCCGCGCGGACTCACAAGAGGTCCTACCACCAGTAAGTAATGTAAGTAATGACTCATTTTTTGTTGTGCAGGTATTACGGTCTGATGATGTGGTTCCCTGAGATGTTCAATCGTTTCGACGAGTGGTCGCGCACGCACGACAACGCCGAGGCGGACATCTGCGAGGTGACGGCGTACGTGACGCGGCTCGGCACGCACTCCGCCGCCGCGCAGTGCGACTCGCACATACACTCGGACGTCTTCATGGAGTCGCTCATCACCGTCGCGGCCGCCATACCCTCCAACATCTTCGCGGTCCTCGGCATGGACAGGCTCGGGAGGAAGTTCTTCCTTGGTTAGTTTCTTTAAAACAACTTTTGCGTTCAAGTTACGCGAGCATACAGTCAGTTTGATTGCAAATAGATAAATAACATCAGCCATGGTCAGTGATTATAACATTAGCACATCTAAACTGCTGTCTACTAGAAAGGACTCCTTTTAAAACTTATTTGTGAATAGAGCTCGGGCAACCTACGATTTAAGCGGGAAGGATAACGAGCCACGTGGACTCAGAAAATGCCGTTCCAACATCAACAACGCAACGCAATTTATTACACAACGTTTTTTCTTCATCGTGTTCGTTCTTCATCAACCCATAGAAACAGCCAACTGAGTTTCTCGCCGGATCTTCTCAGTGGGTCGCGTTTCCGATCCGGTGGTAGATTCTGCAAAGCACTGCTCTTGCTAGGGTCACTGTTAGCAACACTCCGGTTTGAGCCCCGTGAGCTCACCTACTAGTTCAGTAAATCTAGAATAACCCCTTAACACGTTGACTGCCGTGTAGGTCACTCTAACGATTGTCTAACTTCGCCTTCTTTTGTTTGTTAATGTACGTTTTAGACACTTAGGTCTCTTAGAAATAGATTTATTTTCAGTATCTTCGGACTGTCTATGGAATATTCCGGAAATAAATCGACATAATTACATCAGTGCGCCGTGTAGAACACCAGTGACCTACACGGCAGTCAAAGGGTTAAGGTTACCAGAATAGGTAGGAAATAAAAAAAAATAAAAAAATTCGCGTAGTATAGGTTTCGTAACTATGCCGCGAATACAAAAACCGTGAATATGGAATCGTAATTATGTGATTCTAGGGGATACGTCCCTAGGTGACAAAATAAAAAACAAGTAGCTAGATATAGAATTCTTTACGCATAGCTGTAATAAGGTCTATTTTTCTTTTTTTATTAATACATTTGACGACGCGCTTACAAAAGATATTCGACTGGATACCTACTTATGGGAACCCTTTTTATCAATGTGTATGTACCGATTAGATCCTCGAATAAAGAAATCTTTAGGCAAATATAGGAATTGGGTCGCATTTTTTATCCGCGTATAGTGAAAACGCGAATGAAGTAAGCGCGAACAAGGACTTTGTACTGTATACAGTAATCTTTAAGTATCTTTGTATTATATTTCAGTGTTTGCAACATTCTCGGCTGGCTCGTGTTCAGCCGCCATGTACTTCGTGTACAACAAAACGAACAACCTGATCGTTAGTGCTATATTCAGTTCAGTTATATCCTGCGGCAACGCCTCCCTCGACTGTCTCATCACCGAAGTATTTCCCACGAACTTGAGGTAATATGATTTTTATTATATTCACTGGTGTTAGGTCCTGTTGCACGGGTAGGTACCACCACCCCGCCTATTTCTGCCGTGAAGCAGTACCTAATGCGTTTCGGTTTGAAGGAAAGCCGTTGTAACTTTACTGAGACCTTAGATCTCAAGGTGGGTGGCGCATTTACGTTGTAGATGTCTATGGGCTCCAGTAACCATTTCACACCAGGTGGGCTGTGAGATCATCTACCCATCTAAGCAATAGATTTTTTTTTCAAACGAACGAACAAAGTCAATGAATTCCCATATTTTTATATTTACAATAAAAGAGTACATTTAATAAAATCACCCAATCTGGTTTAGTTATTATCGCCCTTGTTATCCTTTTATCTGTTAGGTAATTAACTGTGAAAATCACAATTCCCGGTTACCTGAGAATATCATTACAGGATTTTCCACATAAAGGTTATTAATCGTATCGTTTTGTTGTTCCAGAGCTACGGGTGTGGCGGTTTCGATGGTAGCAGCTCGACTAGGTGGTATAATTGGCAACGTCGTGATCGCAGCCCTACTGGACACGTACTGTCCGGCGCCGACGTTCATTGTGGCCGTGCTTCTCGCCGGAGGCGGCCTCATGTGTCTCTTCCTGCCCAACACAACGCGACAAGCTTTACAATAACATTTCATCATTCACACCGAATTAAAGCGGTGGACCGTTATACCGGTTTTTGCCAGTATAAATATCATAAACATTTCTTGCCGATGGTAACACTGAACGGCTGTTTTAAGATATTTTAATAGGGCAATTAATCGCTAGTTCTGTGAATCTAGTATGACTTCCCGAGGTTACTAGAATAGGTTTATAAAAAAAAACAGTTAATCGAGATAATGTTTTGAAAGCCATTTCCAAAGTCGCCTGATGATTCAATGCCCATTTGATGTACGAAGAGGACGCAGCCCTTAGCTGTGTTATATGATATCATCAGCATCAATCTCATCGGATGATCGATTGTTGTACCTATTTTTTAAAGTTTGTGTCTTTTAAATTAAGGTACAAATTAATTTTAAAATTTTCTACCTAAAAATTCGAAGCGTCGACTGTTGTTTTTATTTTTTATTTTGGTAACACCGAAACTTAGTTTCATAACGGACATTTTACGAGTATTATAGGTTAAGTTTTATCATTTCATATCGATGTTGTATAATAAGCAACTATTTTCTTATTACGAATTTATAAAAATTGTTACCCTAGTTAGTAGAATGTAGTGAATAACATCTGATTTGTGCTATTAAGATTTGTTTGGTATTGCATTGTTTCGTTGAATAATAAAGTCCAAACAAATTCCGTGCTGTAAATTCATTGCACATTTCAGATTTTAGTTTTATGTTGATAATAAAAATGTAAAACGTAATATGATGAATAAATCATCTTAAAGACGTAACATGAATTTTATTTCGTTCCTTTCAATCGATTTACCCCTTTCCTTTTAATCGACTTACAACACAAAGGGAAATTAACAACAAAACTGATTAATTAAAATTTTATTTAATAAAAACTACATACATACGCAGAAGTATATCCTACATTCTTCTCATAGACCGGTCCTAAATCCAGACATAGATCACTCACAAAATCAAAGTGCTCTGACGTTTTTTTTAAAAATAATTATAACAGTATGTAATTTATTGTACTTAATATTAACATTAACGCTATGATATTAGTCATTTCATTCAGTATGTTACCGACTCGACGACCAGTTTCAGGCGTCCCACCGCTTACGCCTGCATTCTCAATCACGAGACAGCATCACTTTAATTATTATCATAGTCCATGCTGCTTTTAACACTTCGAACTGGATAGAAATTACAAAAATACTATTCAACTAATTTTATATATTACACATATGATTTCAACAATATCATAAATCAATTTAATTTACATTTGTAAATTCTTAAAACCTATATTTTATATATTGAATGCTGTGAAAGCAAGAGAACTCATATTTGTTTTTCTTTTCCAAACACGAAATGAGACACGATCTAAAACCACATTCTTACTTTATATTTACAATCTCCGATGATGCGCACGTTTCAAACGCACGCAGTTTACTTCCTAGATATTCGGGCACCATTGACAACGAACCTCATTACCTAATCTAACAAATGAAAACATTCATAATTTTTAAGACTTAAAAGGCAGCATACCATTCATTAGACATCTATTGCACAGAACTCTTTTATAATGTAATAGTCTTTCTTTCTATAATAATTAATTGCAAAATATAATGACTCGATCACAACTGTCGTATCCAACCGTTTAACATTGGCGGGACGCCTCGTTAACAGACAACTGAAGTGATGGTTGTAATGGTATTTCAGCAGACGTCTCTGAGATATCGGAGCCAGGCGTGAAGAGGCGTCGTGTCCATTGCGCGCTGTCCTCACTCTCCGCCTCGCGACCTCCCCCCGACGACGGAGACGCAGCGTTCGATTCTACTGACGAAATAGTTTTCTCCGCGATGTCATCGGTTAAAATCGGCATCGATTTCCCGACGGAATCGTCTTCGTTTAATAAAGGCATTGACATAGTAGCGGTCATTGGAGTCGTGGATTCCTCTGTAGATACGAACGTCATTTCTGTGTTGGGCGACGTTAAGAGTGTTGTTCCGTAATTATTGCTGCTTAACGGATCCGTCATCTTGGGGGCTATTCTGGGATCGGTGACCGTTATCGGTAGTTCTAAGGAGGTAGGCACTGTGTGCGGGGTCACGCCGATGACCGCTAAGCCGTCTTCTAAATTCGACGGTACGGTCGGCTCGCTGTCTGCCTTTGTTGGCATCTCGACCGGCGTCATTATCGGTTGATTTAAGGTGCTACTAGTCTCTGATACGCGACAATGAACCGAAACGTTAGCATTCAAGTCCCTAAAATCGGGCGCGTCGTCCCGAGGTGTGTCTGCGTGAAACACGTCACTATTCGCCAGGGCCGCTTCCAAGATATCTCTGCGCTCAGGTTGAGGGGCGATTACTTGTAAAGGCTCCACCGCCATGGGGACAAGCTGATTGTTTTCTAAAATCAATGGCCGATTGTCGATAGGCGTAAGAGTGCCATTATCTTCAACGCATAGGTAAAAAGAACCAGGCGGTCCCCCGAATGGTTCTCCGGGCACTGCCAACAGGTGACTGTCGGCGAGGGGAGCCGGTAGCGGCGTAGTGGCCTGTTCTGGTTGCGATACCACACTCTCGACTTGTTTTGCTATTGCGGTAGAAGGTAAGAGTTCCTCGAAATTTTCATATTCGGTATACGTTGAAGTGGTTTGCGGAAAAGCATTTGCTGTGGTCGAAGCCACTGAAGGGCCAGACGAAAGGGGAGCCAGAACCGGCATCGGCACCGAGTTCGGCGAGGGAGCCGGTGCGATCGCTATCTCCTGTTTAATTTTCTTTAACGGCGCTGGAGACTCGGTAATTTGTTTCCTAGCTCTGGATTTTTGAATTTGAGTGACTGCAGTTTCGTTTTGTGGTATTGTAATTGACTTTTGAATTAAAATTTTCTTTTCTTGGGCCGGCGTGGCAGGCTTCTGCACTATTTGACCCGTTTTTTGTAGATGTTCGAATTGCGCTGCGGTTAATTGCATCATTGTACCGGATTTTTGTTGCAGAAATATTAAGGGTTCAGTGGTAGTTTTATGTATTGTCTGAACTATTTTTTTTGGTTCGGATGTGACTATTCGTTTCGGGGCAGGTCGTATTTCAGGCATGGGAGCTATATTGTGTGCAGTAGTAGAAACTCGACCCCCAACGATGAGTTGACCTTTAGAAGTTATGATCGCACTTTTCTGTTTTGGCACGATCCTAGTTTGAGTTTTTTGAACTGCAGCAGATTGAGGTTGAGCTTTTACTGTAGTAGCAATCGTGGTTACAGTTTTCTGCGTATTCGTATTAGATGTTAGGCGATGAGCTATACTTTTTAATTGGGAAACGTTTGGTTGTTGTTTATTTGGGAATAAAATTTTTTCATGTTCTGGTGTCAGTAGTATTCTAGATTGTGCTCCCTGAGCATTGGTGATGATCATAACGGTATTGCCCGGTGTAGTGGCATCGGTTGATGACGGCAACAATTTAGCAGAAACCGGCTTATTATCGACAGGATTGCCAGTTGTTTCTGGTCCCTTCGAAACAAGTACATGAGTCTTCCCAGTTTGGGGATCGATTACAATTTTTTGGGTCCGACTCGGCCGCGGAGAATTCGGTGTTGGTAGAATAATGAATTTTTCAGTTTTTCCACCCTGAGCAGATTGGACCACCGTAGGAGCCTGCTTTGTTTCTTTGACAGTAGTTTCAGGTTTTGTCATTATAATCTTTTGTTTCCCAGTGGTTTTATCTATTACCAGCATAGGTTTAGCACCTCGCAATTTAGATGATTTAGAAAGGATGTTAGGAGTTGTAACTTTATTAACTTCACTGACTGGGTTCATAAGTAAAGTTTTTACTTCAGGTTTAGTAGGTGTCGCACTAATCGGCACTTTATCATTTGCCTCGGATGTAATTTTCGTTTTAATCAATTTTGATGGATTCGAAACTGTACTGTTGCCGGACATGACTACGGGCATTTTTTCGATATTCTCTGCCGTTAACAAATCTTCAGACAAAACGATAGGCATCGAATTAATATCGAACATAGTATCGTCGGTTGGTGTTGAGTTATTCAGGGTCTTCTTCTCATTCATAGGCACTATCAAAGAATTCTGAGGTCTTATTTTCTGAAGTTTCGCAGGTGGCTTGGCTACTTTTCTAATTTTTTGCTGTATTATTATCGTGTTAGCGTCCGATGAAACCTCTGGTGATGTTTTAATAGTGTACGTCTGTACCGACGAAGGGTCTTGCGCAGGATTGTTGGTTCTGGATAGTATAATCTTGTCCGACGATGTAGAAATTTCAGAAGTCATATTGTTAATAACGTTTTTGTTCGGAGTGGTTCGTCGGATTATAATTTTTTGTTTTGTAGATTGTGCCTTTCCTTTTAATGCCGATTTGGCAACATCAAAATTAAGGATATTTTCTTTCCTTGGTAGTATTATTTGCTTTGAACTGGATGGAGACACTTTTGGTAGGCATGGTTTTTCTAAAATTTTCAACAATTTAGGCGTCGCTGTTTCTATTTTAGAATTCATACTGATGTTTGGTTCATTGTTGTTGTCACTGTTTGACAATAACGACACTTTTTGTTCTATGACACTATCAAAACTTTGGTCTTCAATTTTGAATGCTTTTGTGTTAGACATTTTCTTATCACTATTTTGATTCGGTTCAATAATATTTATTTGATGATCTATAGTTTCTGACATCTGTACTAATGATTTGGCAGCATTCAAGTTTTCGCTTTTTTCTTGCTCAGTTTCGTAACGATAGTTAACATTGCCATTACCAGTTGCAGCTATAGAGTCTTTCATAGGCACAATTTCTGTTGAACAACTTTTCGCCCCTAAACTAGGCGAGACCTGCTCAGAAGGTACATTTTCGTTTGATTTTAATATTATTTGATGATCCTTTTCAGTTTCGATTGCGAGTTGCATTGTAAGATTCTCGTGGTGTTCGTTGGGTTTTGACTGAATTGCTGTTGACGGGAGATTGATAAGAGTCTCGGCAATTTGCAGATCAGATTCTGATGGCACCGTCTCTATTGGCATGACAGTATGGTTCATTGGTACATCAACCTCTTTTACCAATCCATCGTTGCTTTCAATATCTTGATTAGTGTCGTCAATTTGCATTTTACTCAAAGTACTAGGCTGTGTCGATTCGTCGCTACAGATACGTGTCTGAATGATATTGTTATCGATGATTTTTTCCAGTTCTGCTTTATCTTTTTCAATATTTGTTATGGGCTCGTTTACTCGGTCACTATTACCATTATCGTATTCCATATTTTGTAAATAATTACCGTTGATGTTTAAGCTATCTTTATTATCATCTTCGAATAAATCTTCGGGTGGATCGTTACTGATGACGCGCGTCACACGATCCGCCTCTCGTGATACGCTCAATAAAGCATCTACTGCTGAAGCCGTCGACTCATTCATGTATCGTGGCTCATATATTTTTTTAGGTGTGACTATTTTTTCAATAATTTCTGGGCGAGATTTAGGAATGGAAATTTCAGCTTTTTCCTGATTCAGCACTTGGTTTTCTACAGAATTATTATCCGTCTTTCTGGGTTCAGTTGTTATTTCAGGATGTCGCTCAACTTTATTTGTCTTTATGGGCGATCTTATATCAGGTGTATCAGCATTTATTGGTTTGATTTCTTGTGTTGGATACAACACATCCATTGTTGTTGTTTTTACGGAAACATTTTTAGGTAGGGTCACTCCTGCGGTTTTATCAATGTCCATAGATTCTGTTGCTTTCGACATGTAATCGCCAAATTGGTTGTCGTCTGTAAA